CATCCATCCATCCATCTATCCATCCAACATCCATCCATTCAGCTATCCATCCAACATCCATCCATCCATCCATTCATCCATCCAACATCCATCCATCCAACATCCATCATCCAACATCCATCCATCCATCCATCCATCCATTTTCTTTACTTGCTTATTCCATTTTGGGTCACGGGGGTCGCCGGTGCCCATGTCCAGCAATCACTGTGCGAGGGGCGGGGGACACCCTGGACGGGTCGCAAGTCCATCACAGGGACACATGGAGACAAACGAGACAAACAACCATTCACTCTCTCACTCACACCTAGGGACATTTTAGAATCACCAATCAGTCTAACATGCATGTTTTTGGTCTGTGGGAGGAAACTGGAGAAAATCCACGCATGCACGGTGAGAACATGCAAACTTCACCCAGAAAGGCCCCTGGACCGGAATTTGAACTGGACACCTGCTGTCTGAGAGAGAGGCAGCAGCTCTACCAGTTGCACCACTGTGCTGCCTGCATTATGAATATGAGAAAAAAAAACATATTTTATTTTTTAACTTTTAATTAACCAGGCAAATCCTATTGAGATGCAGATCTCTTTTGCAAGGGTGGCCATGCATATTTTTTGGTCTATGGGAGGAAACCGGAGAACCCGGAGAAAACCCACTCAAGCATGGAGAGAACATGCAAACTCCACCCAGAAAGACCCCAGGTCCAACTGGGGATTGAACTCAGCACCTTCTTGCTGTGAGGCAACAGTGCTAACCACTGAGCCACCATGCTGCCAATAAGCAGTATATAAGTCACTTTGGGATATACGTCACAGGACTGACAAATCTATGTAAAAACTGCGACTTATACACCGGAAAATACGGTACAGTCTTTGCACTTTTATATTTTCACCCTGTCTTAGACACCATACATACATTAGATTTAGTTTGTTTTAGATAAAGTAGAAGTAAGATGAAAAATGTGACAGCTACACAGAAAAATTCCATCACATCTAATACTAAGTTTTCTGAATGAATTAATTTGAATGCAGCGTTCGATAACCCATTAGACCAAGAGTGAAAGATCATTCCTAGCTAAAGACTGGTCTTGTTAAAGCTATTATCAAGTTTTCCATTAAACGCTTCAGTTATTTTCAGAGGTAAAGTTCAGTGGTTGGTCTTTTATCTGTCTCCACAGCTGTCCCTTGAACAGCTACACCAGAGTGTTGATGAATGGGAACTCCACCACCTCACGTTTATCCGTGCAAATATTCTCCTTCGTCGACCTGGACATCATCTACCTGCACTGCCAGGTCCAGATCTGCGTGCAGATCGGATCGGACACCTGCGCGCCTGTGAGTGTGTTCTGCTCCACAAACAAATATACCCTCAAAACGTCTGGCCCGTCACCTCTTCAACACTCTGCCTGAGGATTCTCACAGCTGAGGATGTAAAGATCCACAATGTTCTTGTGTCTCCTTGCAGGACTGTCTTCTAAGAGCAGCTCGGAGTGCGAACATCATCGGAACAGCTTTGGGCTCATCTGGACCTGTACTAAAGTTAAATGAAGGTGAGTATTTTCATACAGAGGGTGTTAACGTGTGTATGGTTGTAGACAGGGATGGAGGTCCACCTTTCAGCAGGACAATGACCTGAAACCATCTGATGAAGCAACACTCCTGTGGTTGAAGGAGAACCAGTTAAATGTCCTGAAGTGGCCCAGTCAAAGCCCAGACCTCAGTTTTTTAAAGGCTGCTGGACGCAGTAGTTACACATCAAGTTTATTTCTTGATTGTTTCACGTTAAAATAGATTTGGCACCTTCAAAGAACCAGGTAGCTCGTGCAAACTGATACAAACACATTCATACAGACCAGATTTAACTCTTTGAGATTTTTCTACCTGGATTATTGAGCATGCATCAGGATATGATACAAACACACCAAAATTCATTTTTTAAACGCCTATGATGAAACAAAACAAAGAAAATGCCAACATATTCATACATACATACATATATATATATATACATATATATATATTATAGCGTTGTTAGAATATTTACAGTATATTTTTCAGGTGCATATCTACTTGAAAAGTTTCTCTACTTTTTTTACTCTCTTACTTTTCATGGGTTTGACCCGACGTGTGTTTGCCTGTAGAGACCCCGGAGGCGAAGTTTGACACTCTGCAAATAGTCGGCCTCTCCTGTCTCGGGGTCGGCCTGTCGCTCTTCTTCATCATCGGATTCGTCTGCCTCTTCTACTGCCAGAGGAACCGCATCGGACACTACAACTTCAGCGTCACGCCGAGACAGGAGAACTTCACCTACATTGTCTTCAACACTTAGCTGTGCAGCCATACGATCAGCTGGCCGTGCGGCTGCCACCAGGCGCCACCAACGCACCGTTACGCTCAAGCTCCTTCAAAACACTGCAGCATTTTGCACACAAGCAATAGATTTAGGCTTCACCTACGTTCAGCTAAATGTTTTAAATAAGAGACGTTATAGTGTGGCTAAATTATTTCATGTCAAAATTAATTATACTGTGTTTAAAAAAAAAAGTTGATGTGCTGAACTTTGAGCTAGAATTTCTAGCTTAATATATTATTACATATTTAATTGTTATTAATGGGGGCATAATATTAAAAATATAAAGGGATGCTCAGTATAGAAAATATGCTGCTACATGCCTTTTATGTGATGACTGCAGCCAAGTACCGGTAGCTTACATTTACTGACTTTGTAAATTTACAACTAAATACTCCAATATTTTGACAATATGGTTAACTTTAGCTGCTGTCTTTACACAACTGAAAAAATAAAATAAAACCAGGTTCAGGTGTCTTCTTATGCCGAGACACGGCAAAGATCGGAAGA